TAACGGATTGAGAAGCAGTTTCCATAGCGACGAAACTTGCCATTGGTAGCTAAATAAAAATTCCTGGAGTATGTCAAGTTATCAGGCTTGATACTTTTTAGTCTAACACGAGCCCTTTCTGGCTCATCTTTCGTAACGTCGACTTTGCTTTGAATGAAACAGCGTCACGGACCCTTTAAAACTAACTTCGATTCTATAAGATCTGTAAGATTAACATTTTTTTGGTCGCCTTTGGCCTTTTTTGCTCGCTTAAGGCTTTTCAGATAAAATTCATTAAATAGCTCAACATTTAATTTGTTTTCATATATATATATATATACTTGTAATTTTAATTTTTATAAATATGTTTATGTGTATATGAAGGCATTTTAAAATATTTGTCGCTTACGATTATTGTGCCAAAAATTTGTTTTCATTTCATAAAATATGCATCAGTAATGACTACGTCATATGTTTGTATGTGCACGCTAAAGAATGTATTGGCATTTAACAAGTGTCCTTTGGCATTCTTACATACACAGATATATATACATATATATATATATATAAAAGTCTTCCTGACATTGCCTGCAATACGTAACTGAAATTGTTATTTATTTACTCTTAAAGGCATTTCATGCAGAAGGAACTAAGAATTGATTGTTTAGCTGTCAGAACTTAAAAAGCAGAGAAGAGAAGACATACCCATAGAAGCAGATGTGAAAATTTCATCGATAAGTGCATGTATGTTATGTTGCCTAAAAAATATTGAGCCTTTATGAATTCCCTTTTTTTTTCCAATTCATTAAAATTCGTATTTTCATCACTCGTGCATGTATAGAAGCGAATTGAACATGTTCCAATTATTGGGCTCAATATTTCTTGAGTATAATGCAAGACTAACGTGTATATGAAAAATCGGAAATTGTGAAAACTCTTTTTAAAATTTTCATTTTCGCAAGATCTACGTATGTGTTTTTCTAACTAGAATAAATAAAATGAGCTGTGTACCTATCGGTTTACGAACTAATGAATTCAATTTATATATATCACCTGTGATAAATTATTAGGACTAAATGAAAATGGCAATAGATTCAGGTTCGGTTAGATTGCTTCAGCCAAACAATAAATGTGCAAATAACTCACTTTCACTTTAATAAGCTCTACTAACACAGTAGTATGAATGAATGAAAACATCAAATATTTTCATTATTCATTAATATTCATATGAGTTTTTACTACCACAACTATACATACAAAACTAATTTTTTTTTTTTTCAAAATCTCCACAAAAACGAGGTAGAAGACAGCATTGTCAATGCTATTCTGCCATTTATATATATATATATTTATATATATATATAGGCGTTACCTATGAAAGAAAGTATATTAGATTTGCCATTCGATCTGTTACACCAGCATAAACGAATCGAGAGAACTTTCGCCTTTAATTACGGCAAGTTAATGATTTAGTCCCATCTTTGTGCTATAGAGCCATTTGCCAAAGACGCTCGTGTAATGACGATTAGTAGACAAAAGGAATATCTTTCGTAATTCTTCTTAAGCGACTTAAAGAATTGAGTGTTCAAGGATCCAGTGAAACATTCAGGCCAATCCCCAAGATTCACGATTTTGTATACTCATTGTCAAGGGCTTACACGAAGACTAAGATTAGTCGAACTATTTCCCTTCGAGTTACTTCCCTTCGTAATACTGCGAGGTACACATCAGGCGTCATTTTGAAATGATTTTGATCGGCCGACAATTTGAATCAATTCAGTTCTGTCCGTCCTTTGGTAGGTTAGTAGTTAAGATTTGATATTTGAAGAAAATGTTTGCAATTCGGTGACATCAACAAGCCCTATAGGCAATAAGAGTAGATTGCGGAAAAAAATGTTGATGCCTGGAACGTCGAGATTGAAAACATATATCCTCAGCCCAATGAGAAGACCAATTGATTTACTAACACTTACACATCTAACAAAATATATTCCAAATGCAATGAATTGAGTTTGAGTTAATGGATATCAACAACTAACCCTCAAGCAAGTCTACTTGAATAATTCCTATAGGAAAAGGTAGACTTGAAATTGTACGAAATGCATGTGGAATATGTACGCTTGTATAGGGAAACGTTTCGAAACGTTTTTCATACAGAAGTTTGAGAACTTCTTGAATTTTAAAAACATTGCTGATTTGCTTTCAATTCAAATTTTTTGTTTCTTTTTTCCCCTAGAGAAAAGAAGAGAAAGAGCACCACATGAAATAAATTTTTGCGAAAGGCAGCCTACGTTTGATAGTCACTATCGATGTTGTTGCTATAAAGCATAGAAGAAAACCAAACTCGCATGGGAGGAAAGTGAAGAGCACCCACACCTTAAGGATTGTATTACTTGAAAATCGATATTTGTTTTATTTTTGAAACTTTTTTTTTTAGATTTTTATATGTGAGTTATATTGGGATGCCATGTGCTTAAACTTGTGGACTTTTCCTCGAGCTTATAAAGTTTTTTTTGACTACCACTATTAATGACGCTCTTGCAAGAGTACTTAGCATTTAGGGAATCAGCTTGAGGTGTAAATGCAAAAAAGCACAGCTACAAGACCCGGCTAAGTTTAGTGAAACACTTATGTTGATCTAAATTGTTTTTAACTCAGGTGCTCATCGCAAAGTAGTAGCAGATGTTTAATTTGTTTTCGTCACTTACTGCATTTTTAACTAACTAAAATTTGTACTTAACCTCAGCATTATATAGCACGCAATTGTTTTCCTAAAAGTTCTTCTTGCAATTCCAACTTTTTAAATTTTGTGCCTTTAAATGAAATTTCTTGAGGAAATTAAGTGAAAAGCAGGTAACCTCGCTGCACCTTTTTCAAAGTCAGCATTCGTTAGTAATCACCTCGAACCAAGTGCCAAATAACTTGTTAGATTAAAAGTTGGGACGTGGGAGAGATGGAAGCCTGAGAGATGGATGCAGCTCTTCGAGGAGTGTCGTGATGTGGCTATGGTTACGCCAAATGACGCCGCGAGAGCCTTAAATAATTGGGAATGGTAGATAGGTCTAGCCTTGCCCAGATGCGAGAGTTTGGATCATAGAGAATCTTTCATACCTCGCGTTTTGGCTTTGGTTTAAACCACACAAGTTATCGCTTCCGTATAATTTTATAAAGCTGTGCGTTTGTTTCGTACCCATACAATCGTTGTGTTCCGAATGTTTTCCTTTCGGCGCCCTTCGCGCCCAAATACATTGAGCATCATCAGTTCGCGACTTAAGCACCCATATTCCCAAGATCTAGCTGGACTCAAGGTGTTCACTAATCTTGCAAGTATTCGCTTGACTCACCAATCTCGACGGAAAGTAAGGAAAGTGCCTGCCTGGGATTCTTCTTCAGCTAATCGCTGATGACTTATAACAATTTCAGGCTAACTGGATTTGGATGTCTACCTTCTTTCGGCCGCTTGACGGGCAACGATATTATTCGTAGATTATGTTGCAATGCGGGCATTCATCTTCCTATGCACTGCTCCGCTTGCCTGTTGCAACATTTAGCTTTACAGCAGAGTTAAATATTTGAACGAATAAGTTTTTCGATTTTCGATCAATGGCTTAGAGGATGTCTTCCCCTGTCAATCGGGTAAAACGTTGATGGCCAGACAAAATTGGAGATACATAAGGAGATGGGTGTGGCTGCCCAGTGAGTGTGTGCCCAATCGGTAAGTGTTACATCTGCACGGACTGCGACAAAATGAACTCTTGGAATTTGAGCCTGTGAACACTATGTAGACGCGAGCTTGTACAAGGAAGAACAAGAAAAGTATGTTCGAAAATTTTGAAAAAGCTTTCGAATATTTTTGATGGGACGCGTCCGCGTCTTCGTGGTTCGCAGTGCCAATACAACGATTGTGTAATTCACGTCGTGTAGAATCACTATTTCGGTAGAAACTTCGGTCCATACCGGTTGACTGGAATCAAGTTTGTGAACAGATGCGTTTTTTTTAAATAAAGATTTTAATAAATTAAAGAACCAGTAGGCGTTCCATTGACTTCGGTATTTGCCTCAGTACATTCGCAGCGTTTGCTAGCAGAGCTTCATTTTGAGTGCATTCATTTTCATGAAGAGTGCATCACTGCAATTTTTTGTTGTGAAAAAAATTATTTCAAAACATATTTTTTTTAAAGCAATTTAAAAACAAGTAAGTGAAGCATTGCTAACCGCTATGGATATTCTAGATGTATTGATGGCACTCGACATTGACGCAAATATCGTCTGCTTGACTGCTACTAATTCGGTTTAGAAGAGCAAAGAAGATATCAATGCCAATTGGCTTTCCAATAGTTGGCGCAGACAGAGAACAAAGGAGAATAAGAGAATTTTCGTCTGTCGTTCGTAATTAGTCTGCAAAATTTCTCTGCCGTCCACATACGCAACCCTTTAAATATGGTCTCTAAAAGCAAAGCATTTGCTTGGGTGGCACTTTTCCTTACCTCTTACCTCGATAAAAAAATGTTAAATCACAGCACCTAATTGGACTTCTAAGCCCAAACATTCCCCCTCCCCGCAAGTCATTAGTCATTATAAGAATATCTTCCTCCTGTGCGAACCTATAGCTTTAACTAAACAAAAGCGCGTTTGTTTCAACAAGAGCTAACTGATCAAAGCAAAGGAGTAACGTAATGTTTCAAATTGAGAATTCATGAAAGACAGGGTTGTTAGTGCAAGGAACACAAAAATAAAAAATACATCCTCACCATCAAATCGATAGTGAATATTAGTGAGTATTAATTGAATAACGACTGACTGAATATGCAGACAAAGAAAATCGCTTATCGCCCTATGAAAGGCCGAATTCAGAGCAAAAGATAAGAAGAACGTATAAATAAAAAATAATTTAATTTTAATATTATGATTTGTTTAAATGAAAAGCAATCTATGAAAAATTTAAGTGAAAATTTATTTAAATAAATCAAAGATAATTTGCTCTCGGTTTACGTGGATTTTATGGTTTAAATGTTACTCACCCTTCTGCCTGCTTCGTTATTGTGTAAATTCATTAAACTGCGTGCTTTCAATGAAATGCTGTTTTTCCATTTGCTACTGCTGCCGACGGCCAGTGAAGGACCGACTGCATAACCCAGATTACTGCCACCGCTATTATAGCCGCCAACATCTGCTACCATACCATTGACAGCTCGTTGATTTTTACGTTTTCTTTTACGACGATTGCTTGTCGATGTTGCACCGGCCGCCGCCGCATCCATATTGAAGACTTTTGAATTTAAAATTTCACGATTGATTTTTTCCTATTTAATATTTGGAGCACCACAATAGCCGTTCAATTTATTCCCCAACAAATGATCAAAACCATATGAAAAAGAGAGGAAGAGAAAAAGGAAAAATTATATTAAATTTCATTTTCCGTTCAAATAATGGCGAGAACAAAAAAGGCAGGTACCCCTGCAGGATAAAAAACTGAAAAATTAATAATAAACGTTATAACAAGTTGAGGAAAGTTGAGCATAAATGCAAAAAACTATACACATTCATCTACATATATATATATATATATATATATGTATGGACGTGTGCACGGACAAAAAACCTTGTTTGCTATTCGCTTAGTGGACCAAAAAAAAAAAGAAAAAAATCCTTTAATAATTGTTCCTCACGTTATAGGAAAAGTTTTAACCAAGAGGTAAACTTAAATAAAAAAAACAAACCGAAATTCATTGCAGAGTTTTGATATTTTTTTTTTTTTTCTGTTGTTCTTGTTTTTGTTAAATTTCCTTTCGACAATTTAAAATGTTGTATTATCAATCAATCGAAAAATTCCCAATATATTGTCCACCTTCGATGGGCAAATATGTCGATGACAGTTTCTTTATTAAAATATGATTTTATATCCAAAGGAAAAAAAGAAAGAGGCAATCATTGTCTTTTGAGGACTACCCAAAAAAAAAAAAACATGGCAATGTTGAAATATTCTTCAAGCCTCTCATAGATATATATCCGGAATATTCCTGGAAAAGTCACAGTCACACCATGAAACCATCGAAATTGAAGTCACTTTTTCAATAAATACTGAAAGTAACTTCAATTTGCTCATTAGTTTTAATTATGTTACAGACCAATACCAATACAAGTTCTTATGTACTACAATTTGCCGTTTTGTAACAAATTCAATGACATTAACCAGGGTATACGAAACTTCTTGGGACGTGTACAGCAATCAGGAGAACTTGAGATGGACTCCTATTTTATTATACAGATCGAATCCGAAATTGATTCTGAAGCATTTCCGCGAACGATGCAGGCTTTTCTATTCGGCTGTGCATTTGCCGGTCTGTCCGTCTGATGTCTCTCGACGCAGTGGAAGAGAAAGGAATGTTCAACCTGCAGATCCCATATGTGCGACTTATCTTAGGCTTGTCTGTCCATCTGTCCGTCTATAGGAACATCTGGTTGCTCATCTATCTTAATGATATTTCGCATGTTAATGTGTTTCGGCTCAAGGGCAAATACTGTTGAAAATGATTTGAACCGGAGCACATTTACGTTCCCTTCCTTATAATGCTTTATTTCGAAAAGTTATTATGTGACTAAAAAAATGGTGTAAACTATAAAGCTTTCGCTTAGTTTTCATGTTGTTAATATGTACTTTTTACTCGTAGAACAACAAACTCTGCGACGTATTAAACGTTATCTCTAGTGACTTTCTGGCCCCGAGAAAGATAGCAAATTAAGTTCTTTTTAAAAAGGTTCATCAGACTTCATAATGTTGCCCCGCCACTAAGGCAAAAAAGAGTAAAAAGTGAAGCGAATTTTGCGTCTGTAAACTGGTTGGCAGTAGACTGAATTTATTGATCATTGTTTTCATCAACAGGGTATTTCTGCGCTAAACGTTCGGGTCGCGCATGGCATGCCAAAGAGTTGGGACGCGGCGTGGCATGCCAAAGAGTTGGTTGGTTAGAAAGCAAGTCCGTTTGTAGTAACATTGGTTTTAAGCTTTTAGGCTTGAAGGCAAGTCTGTTCGGTTACAAGCAATGTTATTATAGCTTTCCCACAGATTGGCGGATAAAGAATCGCAATTGTATGTCTTTTGAATCTCATAGTGATTAGAGTTATGTTAACGCTCATCCACAAGGGATGAGGATGGGAGAAATTAATGTTTGTTAAGCGAAACTGCAATATGTGCGATCTGCCACTCAGGGGACATGCCTTGTAGGGGTAACACGGCGTTGATCAGGCAGAAGTGGTGAAAGGGTGGAGAAAAACTTTAATTTGTGTGTGTGTGACCGATCGGCCCGTATTGTGTCTTTACCACAGCTACGAACAAGTACGATCTACTGCACATGGGACATGAGTCGACTTTGTAGTCGCGACTCTTAATTATCCAGCTATATGCCGCAATGAAGCATATTTCGATATATGAAAATACAAGAGGCAACTATTTATTTGCCGCCAGAGAAGACGTAAAGGAATAGTAAAAAGTTATTTTTATTTGCCTTTTGAATGGAATGCAGAGTCGATGTTAAGTGTAAATAGAAGAGAGGGGAAAAGGGGAGAAATTTTTTAACCAACTTTCATGGTTGAGAAAATTTTCTGGTAATTGTCCAAAACTCTTAGCCAGAGTTGCGCTTTTTATATACTCTGTCATGAAAGCCATGATATTGAAAGCAAGTTAAACTAAACTATTATTGTTGTACTGATTGTTGTTGTCGTCGTTTAGGTTGTGTCAGTGGCTGGTAGATTTTAAAGTAATACATACACATATATATATATGTTATATATATATATATATATATATATATATGTATATATTATATATATTTATATATACGCACACTTATATATATATATATATATGTAGAGGTAAGTAATGAAACAATTTGGTAAAGTTTACCTGCAATTCAAGCATTTCCTTTTCCTGTAATTTCGAATTGAGTATTTCCTTTGTAATACGCTCCTGTAACTCTAATAAATCTTCCGGCTTAATGCGTCCTGTATTGTATTCCTCTGAAGAGTCTTTCTCTTGACGTGGCACAGCCACAAACGATGATCTACTAGCAGATTGCTGTGGCATAAGTGGTAATGGTGGTAATGGTTGAGCGTCTACAGTTAATGTCAAGTTACTCGAAATGGTCGAAGGAGATGAAGAACCTCTAAAAGAAGAAGACGATGATGGCGACGACAACGACGACAACGACGACGACGACGATGTGGTTGATGATGCGGGGGGCTGGATGGAATAACTGCTAACACTTGACGTTGTTCTGTTGACATTGCTGCTGCTGTCGGTATAAGTGTTTCTAAGGTTTATCGCTTCGGTGTTGACAGTTTTATTGGAATTTTCTAGTGATTTGATATCGTGGCGAGTGAGGGCAATGTCATCATTAATGCTACCAATGGAAACGGCAACAGCTGATACCAAAGTCGCAGTATTACTGTTATCGTAGTTGTTATTATTATTATTGTTGTTGTTGTTGTTGCTTTCACTTTTGCTTTTACCTTTGCCATTGTTTGCTGACAATCTTTGTTGACTTTTTGTTAATGTTGTTGAACTGTTCAAATTGGTATTTACCGTGGAAACTGTTCTCGGTAAGGCAGCAAAGTCGGAGGCATCATCTGCAAGCATTTGTTGTTGTTGTTGTTGTTGTTGTTGCTGATGATGTCGTTGCCTTCTCGTTTGATATAAGCGTAGATTTTTACGTTTTTCAGGATTACCCACACCACGTGTACCTCGTCTGGTTTCCTTTTCACGTACATCGATAAAATCTGTAGCGAATCTGTAGCAAAATATTAACAAAAGAAAAAATAAAAAAATAGATAAATAAAAGAATGTGAAATATGAAAATAAAAAATGGAAAAAAACAAAATCAAAAATGCATCAAATTTTACATTAATTTGATGAAATTTTGTTTTTGTTTAAATTTCAAATTTTTTAACTTGATATAAAATGCAATTAAAAATTTTAATTAGATACAAATGAAGCCTACAAAATCAGTTTTCGGTAGCAAACGCCCCATCGTATACGAAAAATAGGAAAATCCATTCGCTATCTCAGGGGGATGTTTGTTGTTTGTTTCTTTTGTTCGTTCGCTTATTGCCATAAATTAAATGTATAATGATTTTACAACAATAACATAAACACCCACCACCATCGCCATCATCACGACACACACCGTGCCACTTATCAGCCCTTTTGAAGCTTATTTTATACAACGCGCAACGCCCTACTTTTTCTTGTTTGTTTCCTCCGATAGAAACTTAATTGCATTTGTTGCACTTGGCGACTGGTGGTATACAATAATTGTACGCCCTCGAGCAGCTTAAGTTACGGGTGCAAAGATTTGCACTTATATTTGTTTCCATATGCAAAACTGTACGATATTATGCCACTTGTATGAATAATAGTCGCTCTACTCTCTTCTATACTTAATATTTGTCGTTTTTAACGCTTTCGCCTTACAATAGGGTTAATTTGCCCTCAAGCCCCTTTGAAGAAGAGCAAGAAGAGGTAGGTAAACGGTAAAGGTAATCATGGCGGAGATGTTCATTGCTGCATATGTTTAAACTTGAGTGGTGGTTTTCTTATATGAAATAAAAATTCAATACTAAGGCTATCTATCTATTTTCAAGCCATATACACTGCACAGTATATTCAAGCGTACATACATTCATTGGATGTCTGAAAATTTTCAATTTAAAACAGTAAGGATTGGATTTACTTCGTAGTACAAACATCTCGTTTAAACTCTACTCGCTTCAACTGCATATCGTTGCCTAGTTGAGTGTAAGCTGACCATGACATGAGATGGGAAGAAAGGGGAGATGAGAGACTGTTTTTCAATTTTTTGAAATCCGTTACATTGGTCTTAATTAAGAGAAAAAAGGCGACAATAATTATACACCTCTTCCGTAAAGCAAATGAAACGATAAAATGAACGAATTACGAGGAAAGCTTTTCTAGTACGTTCTACTGATGTGAGCGCGATGAGTCTTCATAGTAACATTGAGGGATTGTCTAACCTTCAATACTCCAAAGTAAAGATTTCATCGAAAAAAGTTTATCCATTTAATGCGAAAGGTCTTGATATCAGTAAAATTTATAATCTTGTGAAAAAACAAAAGAAAAAAGTATTTTTTATTCAACAATAAAGTAAAGAGTAAGTAAGAAAGCACTACACCCAAGTGACAAGTGGGAACATCAAATACATTTCACTCCTTCGCTTAATGCATTAGCTCACTTACTTTTCTCTTATCATATCATGTTGTCGTCGCATAAAGGCTTCATTTTAATGAGATGCCGTGAAGCGACTTATTTCAAATTTAATTAACTATATTTTCACTTTACTTGCACGTTTCGGTTGCGCTTCCGGTTTTTGTTTTAATTTGCAGTTGCCTTGAAAATTGCAAATTTCAAAGTTACTTAAGAAAAATCGCTGAGTAACACTTTTTTGGCTCAATAAAGTGATGCGAAATATTTGGGTTGGACCAAGAGCGAAGCTTTATACGGCAAGGACGTTTTACTTTTAACATTCCGTACTAAAAGTTGGTCCATCATTGTAGTTTGTCATACGAATAGACTGCAGCAAGTTTGGGGCATGCAGATCTGTGATAAGAACACCAATAAAATTTAGTCCACGTTTTCAGTTAGCTTCGATGTAAGTGTTTCCTATGAAGGATTATATTATTCAAACCGGTGTAGGGTAGGGGACTGGGTAGCGTCGGCCTTGTCCGACTACAATGCTTTTGCTTCTTATATTCTACACCAGTCAAGATTAAAGGGTCTACTAAATTCGTGCCGATGTATGCAACGCGCAAATGGACTTGAGAAGGAATCACTTGTGATTATACCGATCATTAGTAATTGTACCGAATTACTTTCTGAATCATTTTCTGAATTGATCTAAGCTTGTTTGTTCGGCTGTTCGTCTTGTTCTCTTGTGTTCAATATGCAGGACGCAGAAACATTTGCACTGACATGCTTTGGCCCAAGGACGAACGCTATTGAAAACGGTTCGAGTACGAACTCTTTTGTAATGATATCCCCTCTCAAACTGGTGCAAATTTTAAGCGATATCTCTCCATCCCTCTCCCGCTCAGTCTATCTGTCTGTGTCTCTCTCTTTCTGTTTCTCTCTCTCTCTCTTACTTACACCTGCTGTCTGACTGCGAAAGAGCAGAGGAGGGAAATTTCTTGCCTACTAGTCTCTGTTCTACAAAAGCATTTCCTTCCATAGGAAGTATTTCGATTACTGTGCCACTTGAAATTACGCCTTGAATATGTTCATCCTTGTGATGTTATATTTCTAATTTCCATTTTATCATATGTTACAAAACAGTTCAGTTTACTTTGAATGAAATCTATACGGAAAGCTTTTCAAAAGACATTAAAATAATTTCTTATCTTTTTGTAACATACACAGCCCACGAAGCCAGGCATCATAAATCCATGCATGTAGAAACGAATATTTCGTGAAAGGTTTATTTGGATATTTGAGAAATTTATAAAAATCAACAAAATATTACTTTTCAAAAAAATTTCAGTTTCTTTCTCTCTCGTTTGGTTTCATGCTTTAAATAACTTAAATAACAAAAGTTTTTATTATGCTTATCTTAAAAGTAAAAAAAAAAAAAGAAAATAGGCAAATAAAAAAACAAAAAATGAAATTGCGGTCAAGTCTAAAAAATATAAACATAAGCAGTAAAAAGAAAAAAAAAAAAGATTTATTTTGTTTGGTAAATCACTGCCAAATGCAAACAAATACAAGTAAGCATAGATAACTACACCGTAAGTAGTAAGTAGTAGTATTAGTAGTAGATAGAAAGGTGGTTTCCGAGAGGTATACGGCTATGGGTTTGCTGTTTTTTTATGTGTGTGTTTGTACGTGAATATATCCGGAGTTTATCTGGCACATATTTAAAGACTTCCATGTGTGTTATCAGCATAACCTCCTCGCAGTTATTTCTCAATCGTTAAAGCTATATAAGTATACATATGTATACATGTATGTATGGATGTGTGCTTGTTTGTTTGTTTGTTTGTTTACTTGCACACTTCCTTGCAGTACTCATTCCAAGTCACTACAATAACCGCATTTTAAACTAAACCAAACATAATAGAAATCGCACTTCTACAATAGAATATAGTGACGTGTGTGCGTGTTTTTAAGTTCACATATATATTTATATTCATATATATATATATGCGTATGTGTTTCCATCATTATGTACATTTATGAAATGTTCTGCAAAATATTTGTATTAAAACGCAAGAACGCCCATTATAAAGGCAGACAGATAGAGAGAGACAGACAGACAGACGGACGGACGGACAGATAGAGCACATATGTGTTCGTTGCTATTGCTGCGAATAAACAAACAAACACATCAGCGCGCATACAAACACACACATGCATGAACACACATATACCAAAACCATAAGCTTATCTGTCATTGAGTTGCTAAACAACACGGCAGCCAGTATACATTAGATAAGTTGAAATCCTTAAAGCCTTGTGGCAAATAAAATGTTTTTTCGTCTGTTTATTTTTATTTATTTTGTTTTGTTTTGTTTTTTTTTTACATTTTTGTATTTCTTTTGTTGCTGCTTTCTGTCAA